GAGGAGGAGGAGAAGGAGTAGGAGGACGAAATAGGAGGGAACAGGAGAAGTAGGAGGGAGGAGGGAGGACGAGGAAGGAGGACAAGGAGGAGGAAGGAGGAGGAGGAGAACAAGAAGAAGAAGAAGAAGGGGGAGAAGGAGGGATAATAATGGAGGAGGGAGGCGGAGGAAGAGGAGGAGAAGGGAGCAGGAGGAGGAGAAGTAGTCAGCGACCACCAAAGGCGCAGGTCACTTCACCAACCGCGCGCTGCACTAGAGAGGCTTCCTCACCTGTTCGGCGAGGGGGGGCAGCAGGAACAGGGGGATCTGGGGGCAGCACAGGTCGGCTTTATGTGCATGCACGTTTGGGCAGGCCCCTGCGTACAGTGGGTACGTCAGGTGAGAAACCAGCCTGACGCCAGGTGCCCCACGGACATGTTTTCACTGGAAAGACCCAGGGAACCACACAAGTCGCTGGGCACCCCAGGAGGGTTAAAGATGGACGACGAGTGTGCCACCAGAGTTCTTACAGCACTCTTTCTTCTTGCATGTGCCTGCTGCACTCGTTTGGGGCACTCTGCACGTCAAGCGGCGCGCAGCTTCGGCATGGCGCTCGCCTTTCGGCTGGACGGCATGGATGGGTTGCTGCAGTGCTTGGACTTGCGCAGCGCGGTCAAGGCCGGGCTTCGTCTCCTGCCACGGACGAGGAGGGGGAGCAGGAGGGAGAGGAGGGTATAGGATATGAGAAGAAGAAGAAGAAGAAAAGTAATAACAATAAGACGAAGAAGAAACAAAAGAGGTGGAATCCGACGAGAAACTAGGATGAAGGGTGGAAGGATAATGAGATAAAAGGCGGATGGAGGAGGCATTGAGATGAGGCTGGAGGGAGGAGATGGGGATGGAGGACCGAGGAGGGGGAGAGGGAGGCGGAAGAGGTGACGCGCACGGGGCACTTGACTTGCCGCACGATCGAAGCCCGCAGGGGGGGCGAGGCTATCCCCGCTCTGCGCCCACTGCAGCTGCCAGCCGCAGCACGCCCCGGTTGGGCGCGCCAAGTGATTGATACGTTGGAGCAAATCCATCGTGACGATGATTGACGTGGGCCCAGATAGCCAACGTCACGATGTCTTCGTGACGCGGCCCCGAGAGAGCTGCGAACTGCGTGGTTGGGGGAAGCCGAAGCCGACGTCTCAAGTCATGCAGCACTCTCTAGTTTTCTTGCTTGGAGGTCGAGCTCGATGACCCAAGAGCACGCACTTCTCTCGGACCTCCTGAGGCCGCGGTCGACCCTTGCGACAGTGCCGGCTCTGCGTCGCGCGCGGTGCTCCATTTGAGCCGCTTGTTAGATTCGGGCAAGTTCACTTGCATGGCGTTCGCCCCCCCCCGCCCCCCTCCCCCCCGTCCATGCACGTAAACTTGCCGGAGGCAAAAAAAAAAAAACGGCTCTGCATGCCCCTGGGGCCCCTGGACCGGCCTCCGGAGGCCAAAGGTGGCGACGAACTGGGCGCCGCGATGCTGCCGGGGCGCCAGATGTCCGGGACGGCGGGGCCGGCATGGAGTGGCAGATGCCCACAGAGCCCAGGCTTGGTCGCGTCGTGAAAAGAAATCGACGCAAGGTGTCTGGCAACTTTTGACCCATGGGGGGGGGACGGTTGCGAGACCCTCTCAAGCCTCCTCCCCGTCCTCACCGGCAGGATTGCGCTCTCAGGGTCACCAGCATCATCGGTTTTGTCTGCATCGTCAGCGATCTCCCCATCGTCCCTAGAAGCATCATCAGCACGGCTCAACAGCGAGCGATCCAGCGTACACCATAAATCTAGCAGAGCTTCGCAGGAGGTTAGGCAAACATCACTGACACCATCAACGTCGCCGTCATCGACGTCGTCATCAGTCATCATCATCATAACCAGCGTTGTCAGAATCGCGTCGTCATCCTCATCAGCATCAGCGTCATCGTCCACCATCAGCATTGGTGTCATCATCAAGTTCGTCAACATGGTCATCATCGGCAACTTCAACGCCACAATAAATTGGATGGAAGTGGCTAGAAAGAGGCTCGACTGGAAGTCGCACGAGGACGCCTGGATTCGGCACGTCTTGGTCTTGGTCTTGGGCAGGTCGGTGGGCACCGCCTCGTTCTAGACTGGTCCTCGTTGGCTTAGCAGTTGATTCAGCACGAAGTGCTGCCTGTGTTTCGACATGATCTGGGCATTAATCGATTTGGTATCGGTTTCGGCCAGTTCGATCCGGTTCGATTCCGAAGCTTCGAAGATCCGATGCGGCCAGACGCTTGCAGTGGCGCAGCTGTGCATCCTGGCACGGCCGGTCCGATTCGACCTCGACTCCGTGCCGATTCGGGCCAATCGGGCGCACGTTACCACCCGATCCGATCTCCCGATGCGGTGCTGACCAGTCTTGCCACCATCTGTGGGGCCCCCCCTCAGAGCGGCAGGTGCTGCCTCTGGCGGCCGCGTTCTGCTTCGCGCAGGCGCCCTCTCCGTCCCCCCAGGGCCCGGGGAGGAGGAGGAGCGGGGAGAGGCAGGAGGGAGGAGGAGGAGGAGCAGGAGGAGGAGGAGGAAGGGCAGGAGGAGGAGGAGGAGGAGGAGGAGGAGGAGCGAGGAGGAGGAGGAGGAGGAGGAGGAGGAGGAGGAGGAGCGAGGAGGAGAGGAGGAGGAGGAGGAGGAGGAGGAGGAGCGAGGATGAGGAGGAGGAGGGAGGAGGAAGGAGGAGAAGGAGGAAGGAGGAGGAAGGAGGAGGAGGAGGAGGAGAGATGAGGAGGAGCGGGGAGAGGCGGGAGGCGGGCGCGTGCCCTCCTCTTCCGTCCTTTTCCTCTTCCGTCGGCACTCTCCTCGTGGCGCGCGGCTGCGGATGGATTCTCTGCTGCTGCTCAGCGTTAAGTTGGGCACGTCCCTCTACAGGAGGAATATTCCAAAATTGCCAAACAATAGTCTAGGAACGGTTTTTCGACTAGTTCTGACTATTCTTCCACATGTTTTCACTATTTTTATTTGTCGTCCAAAATCCGCCTGTAGGGGACATGCCCGACCTAAGCTCAGTGGCGCCCTCGACTCCACTCGCTGGCAGCGTTAAGTCGGGCATGCCCCTCTACAGGAAGAGTATTCCAAAACAGTCCAAGAATACTCTGGGGACGTTTTCGTGAATATTTGCGATCATTTGGGGGTATGCTTCTACTATGTGTCATTATTCGTCCAAAATCCGCCTGCAGAAGGACATGCCCAATCTAACTGTATCGCCGGCGGAAGGGGAAACAAGACCAAGAAGTAAAAGAGGGAAAAAGAGAGAGAGAGAGAGATCAGGTAAGAGAGGGATGACGAGCACGAAGAGAATGGATGCTAAAGCACCTGAGGGTGCGGGAGAGAAAGAGAGAGAGAGAGAGAGAGAGGCGAGACTGACTGTGTCCTGAGTGTGTGCGTGTGGGTGGGGCCCCAGCGTGGGCCCCAGCCTCCCGGGGGGGGGGGGGGGGCTGGGACCCACCTCGACGCGCCTCTCCTGAAGTTCGGGCCGCCTACTCCTCATCGGCATCCCCATCGCGAAGGGAGGTGGGGGGTTGTGTGCGGTGCGACGCGGCGGCACGCAGCGGGAGAAGGCGGTGCGGGCGAGGGGGGGGGGGCGGGAAGGGGGGCGTGGGCGCAGGGCGGTGTCCAAGGCGCAAGGCTGTGGGCGGCGGCGGAGGAGGAGAGGAGCTGCAAGAGGCGGGGACAGGGGTAGGTGGAAGAGGTGGTCCGAGCGGGGCCGCCCCCACCCGAGGAGGAGAAGTGGTGGCTCCCTCGGCTGGGCTCTTAGGTGGCGCGGCTGCATGGTCCACGGCCGCCAGAGAGATGTGTACGCTTGCTCTCTCTGGCGGCTTGTGTCGAGCACGGCCTCTTCGGGTCCTCCCACACCCCCGTTATCACCCCGACCATCCCCCGTCCCTGGTGTAGCGGTTTTTGGCTGGGGGAGGTGAAGGTTAGTGGGAGACAGGTGAGACGGTGGGGCTGCAGGCAGAAGAGGTGAGGGAGGGGGGGGGGGAGGCCTGAGGCACTTTAGGAGTGGATGGTGAGGGTGCCGCTGATGTAGTTTGGGGTGCAGCAATAGAAGTAGAGGAGGTGCAGGTACTCCGGGAAGCCCCGGCGTTGTGGAAGTAGATGCAGGATACAGCATCTTGCGCGTTAGCAACAAGGCAGGTGAGTCTTGACGTGCCGCGTCGCATGGCAGTTGGTGTTATTGCTGCCGTGGTGGCAGTGAGTGCGTGGCGAGGTCCTGGGAAAGCGTGAGGGTTGTGGAAGAGATGGGAGCCAGCCGATTGTGGTTGAGCCGTCGTGGAGCAAAACTGACGAGGCATGGAAGAGCTGCGCCCCACGAGGGCGGCTGCAGCTTACGAGGCCTGACACTGGGAGAAGTGGCGTTAGTGATGGTGCCCCTAAGAGGTGAGGGTGGCCCGTGCCACGGGTCCTGCAGGCAGCATAGGGCAGGAATTCGTAGTTGCCGAGCTGGGCTGGGGTCGTTGCTGCGGGTGCAGCTGCTCCCTGCGCTCGGTATCTGCACTGCCCTGGTCGGGAGTCCGGAGGGGTGAGGCAGCGTCAGTGGGTCGAGTCGAGTTGGTAGGACTATTGGAGCTGGTCGTGGTTGCCGTCGCTGCACGATGTGTCCGAAGTTGGCTTGCTGTGTGTCTCGTGCTGGTTGGTCCGACGGTGTGTGGTTCTCTCGTGGGAGATGGTGCGATACACAATATCGTGCACTACCCTTCGGTACTCGTCCAGGTCCTCCGTTTCCATGGTTAGGCGGAGGTTCACAATGGTGTCGGCAGCTCGCCCCATGCTCAGTGGCCCGTGGGTGTCCATTCCCTCGGGTTGGGTGGCGGCTGGATCCAGGTGGTATGGATGTTCTCGCCCTCCTGAGAGGCATTTGTCCTTGTGCTTGTCCTCTGGGATCCAGTCCTTGTAAGCCTTGCGGACCTGGTTGACGTCGCCATCTGGGTGGTCCATAGCCGTCCTGAAAACGATTGCGATGTCTTTTGTCGC